TTCCCCTTTCTCCACATCCCCGCCAACATCTGTCGTTCCCTGACTTGTTAATTTTAGCCATTCTGACGGGTGTGAGGTGGTATCTCATTGAGGTTTTGATTTGGATTTCCCTGATGCCGACCGCTCATTGTTTTCTTACAAAAGGAATACTTACTGGACTTACACCCCACATCCCATCCTCTACCCCCCTTTACTTCACCATTGCTGTAGTAATTAGCTTTGTGCATGGGTAACTGGACAGTCCTTCCTGTTAGCTGCATGGAGTAGGTCTTGCTTTTTGCCCCAGGGCATCTCTGCTTCCCTGGTGTGGGACGTGGATAACTCATTTCCCTAAACTCAGCTTGGAAGGAGACAATGGACAAACTCTTTCCTTAACCTTTCTCTAATGGAGGATGGGTGAGCAAATAAAGTCTCCTTTCTTCCATTTCTGAACTCTTGGGAGGACAATCCTTCGGTGTCATCTTCAAGGCTGCTTGGAAGGTCTCTGTGGGATGGAGTGTAAGTTGCCCACAGCAGGACCAACTCAAAATGGTCTTTGGATTAGCTCTCCCTCCTACCCTGTTCACTCCTCTCTTGGTACCCCACTCCTGTTCTCCATAATCCCTGATACACTAGCTACCTGCAAGCCCAGGTCTCGGGCTCTGCTTTCTGGGGGAATCCGGGCTAGGCTAACATTCACTGTAGAAAATTAGTGGTTTGGTTTATATCTGTATATTCTAACCCATAATCTGGCTCTCTCTAGAGAGCTCTGCATATGTACTTAAAAAAAAAGTATTGGCATTATACTGTACATTGATGTGTTCTGGTTTTCTCTTGCTAGGTTATATCTTCATGTGATTTAAATTTTCTCCATGTAACATTTAATAGCTACATAGTATTTCATTGATTCATTATAGAGCAGCCACTATATCCCAGGCATGGTTTTGAGTGCTAAAGACCTAGCAATGGACAAACAGATCCTGTCTCAGCTTTTAAGGAGCTGATATTCTAGTTAGGATCTTTCTTACCTTCTAATGGGAGCAAAATTTATTTAACCAATGGCGTATTGTCAGTTATTTAGATTGCTTCCGATGTTCAGTATTATAAAACAATGCTTCGGGGCGCCTGGGTGGCTCAGTCATTAAGCGTCTTCCTTCGGCTCAGGTCATGATCCCAGAGTTCTGGGATAGAGCCCCGCATCAGTCTTCCTGCTCTCCCACTCCCCCCTGCTTGTGTTCCCTCTCTCGCTATTTCTCTTTGTCAAATAAAATCTTTAAAAAAATAAAAACCATGCTCCGGTGCCATCCTTGAAGGTATTCGTGGACTTCATCCTCCAGTTTCTTCTCTTAGGATAAATTCCTAGAAATAGAATTCTTGGAAGAAAGGCGATGAGAGTAAATGAGGGTGCTGGGATTCCCAAGCAGATTTGTCTGTCTGATTCTGGGGCCCAGGCTGTTGATCACCATGCTGTTAATATCCCTGCACTGAAAAATCATGGTAACTAAATTAGTCAAATGGTTCCTAGCTGGCTTAGGCATATAGGCTGTAGGATTAGGTTAAGGTCAGGTCTGGAGTGGGGGGGGGGGGGCGGAATCCTGAGTCTGCACATGACCAGCTGTGTGATTTTTCTTTTTTTTTTTAGTTCAGTTTCTTCATCTGTAAAGTGGGGACACCCAGGTGACCTTATTTTGCGGGGGGGGGGCGCAAGGGATGGAGGGGAGATTAAGGGAGGTATGAGCTGAGTTAGGGAAGATGTGTGGCAGTTAACTAGGTCAAGGGGGGGTAGAAACATTCCCGGAGGAGGGAGGAGCAGGTTCAAAACATTTGGAAGATGGAATACGATTGTACGCCACTTCTTTTCCCATCTCACTTGTAGTTCCTTCTAGAAATGTCTTCTGAGATCTTTCCACGGCTGGTTTTTCTCATTTAGCTCTTAGTTCAGATGCCATCTCAGAGATGCCTTCCCTGAACATCCCTCTAAAGTTAAGCCCCCATCCCCACCCCGTGCCTTATTACCTTATTTTGTCAATAGCTACCACTAATTCAAGCCTTCATATTCGTTTGTTGATGTCGTTCCCCCCCCCCCCCTTAATGGAAACACCAAGAAGGGAGTGATATTAGGAGGGTGGGGGCAGGGGGTCAGATTTAAATGCTGAATCCTCAGCGCCTGGCATCCAGTAAGTCCTCAATGCATGTCTGCCCAAAGAAACGGTGCTTGGCGCCAAGTCCGCGCTTGACAAGAGCCGCAGGCGGGAAAGCGGAGAGCCTGGGCGCGGGGTCAGGCCACCAACTTCGGCCTGGGGCGCCGCGAGCCCCCGCGGGGGACCGCTCGAGGGGTGCGCCGGGGGCGGGGCCGCCCACCCGGAACCCGAGTGCGGCGGCGGCGCGGATTTCCGGCCGCGGCGGACACTTCCCGCGGAGGGACTGTCCTGTGGCAGCCGGCGGGCCCAGGAGGACGCGGAGGACCGAGCGCGGCAGCGATGGATGACCACAGCCTGGAGGAGTTCCGCCGGCGCTGGCAGGAGGAGCTGGCGCAGGCCCAGGCGCTCAGGAAGCGGCGGCGGCCCGAGGCTGCCGAGCGGCGGCCGCGACAGGCCGAAGTGGCCCCAGGGCGCGGCGAGCAGGCCTCGGGGTACCTGGCGCTGGCCCAGGGCCTCCTGGAGGGTGCGGGGCGACCCCCGGCGGCGCGGGCGACCCGGGCCGAGAGGCAGGATGCGGCGAGCCGTTCCCGCTCCCCTCCGGCTCGGGAGGGCGCCGGGGGCGGGGAGCAGCTGGTGGACCAGCTCATCCGCGACCTGGTGAGTGGCCGTCGCCTCCTGCCGAGGTCCGGGCCTGCCCTTGCCTCAAGCCCCCCCCCCCCCCATGAATCGGAAAGTGTGTGCTACCCTATGTCTGCAGGCATAGAGCATCTCGGGAAGGGGTGCTTCCCACTCTGGGGTGACTTCCCCCATAGAGGCAGTGTCTGCCGACCTTTTTAGGATGCCACAACTGGGTTGGGGGAGTTGCTACTGGAGTCTAGTGGGTAGAAGTCGGGGATACTCCTGAACATCCTACAGTGCATGGACAGCATCCAGAAAGAATTACCCAGCCCGAAATTATCAGTATCAGTTTGAGGAAATCCTGCTCTTGAACTCTTTTGGAAAGGGTTGCTTTTAGGGAGGTCTCAGGCCGGGGATAGGAAGCAATTTTAACTTTGTTCTGTATAGTGTTTGTACTAAGTTTTTTTCCAACTGTACATGTATTTAAAAGAAAGGGAAAGCAAATCCTGTGGGCATTGTCATTAGCATGGAGGTTCTTAACCACTTCATGGGCATGGATCCTTTTGAGAATCTGGAGGACCCCCCCCCCAAAAAAAACCCTTTACAAAGTTGACACAATCAGAATCATCTAAAATACATCCATGGTTAAGGGTTAGGAAATACAGCAAATTTTAATGGTTTGACTTATTTATTTGGGGGGGGCAGAGGGGGAGAGAATCCTCAAGCAGACTCCCTGCTGAGCATGGAGGCTGATGCTGGGCTAGATCTCCTGACCTGAGCCCAAGTCAAGTCAAGAGCCATTTGCTTTAACTACTGAGCCACCCACGCACCCCTGGTTCGATTTAAATTAGGCTTGAAGAAGGCTTCTACAGCTTCCCAATTCAGAGTAATTCTGTAATTGGCAAGTTGTTTCTAGAAATAATGGCTTATTTGACATAGTTTTATTCAAATAACATTAAGAGCTATAGGAGTTTCCACCAAGTTTCTGGTCCACTTCTAGGGTTAGAACCTTTTTCTGTGTACATGCATTATAAACTCATCTAATGTGACAATTCTTATGTATATGAAAATTCATGCTGGTATCATGTCTGCTTCTGTAAGAAGTGGGTCATCACTGAGGAAGTCTGGCAGATGTAAAAATCTTTCAATGCCTTGGGAAGGTGGTTTAGCACTGGAGAAGTTGCTCAGGCCATTCCAGATCTATGCAGAAATCACTCCCATGGAAGTAGATTTGTAGGCTAAGCCAAGACCACCTTACGGTGGTAGAGGGAAGCAGGAAAATGGATTGTTAGGACAAAGGCACACTTGGGGCCTCACAGCAAAAATCCAGCCTGCTGAGTGTGGCAGTGTCTTCAGGCTTCACAACAATCCTGGAAAGTCCATATTGTATCTCCTTTTATGAATGAGGATATTCAAGGAGGCTTTCTGTAACTGCCCCAGGGATGCCTAGCTGATACGTTCTGGGGGTTGAATTTGGATCCAGGTCTGTTAGGCTGTAAATTTCACCAGGTAGTATAGTTTTGCAAACTTGGTGTAAAAATCCCCTTAGGCCTTATTAAAAGACAGGTTCTGGTGTGTCCCTAGATCTGCTTAATCGATATCCTGAGGAAGCTCTTAGAAATGTGATGGTTGGGATGGTCAAGCAAATTTGAGACCAAATTGTTTTCTGCTGTATAGCTTCCTTTGGTTTACTATCTTGATTCTTCAAGGCTTTCTGGCCCTAATACTCCTGAGGGATAGGCATTGAAATCAAAAATTGTGGAGCCCTAAATGAAGTCTTCTAGAAATGGAAGGGGCCTGCCTACTGTAGGATCCAAGAGGCACATCGGAATTACAGTTAGAAAAAAGCTGCTCTGGAGTGTGTGCCCATGATCTCCTTTGTCTGCAGAATCATATTAGGTGCTACTGGGCTCTGCATCCTATGAACAGCATCCAACCTTCAGGGCACTTTTTTTAAGTACTTTGCAGTCATCACGGCTATAAATAAAATTACTCTCACTCTCCTTGGTACTGCCTTAAAGGCTTAAAGATCTTTTCTTCAGTTCTCCTACAACCCTCTCCAGTAGCTATTTGCCCCATTTGACAGATGAGCATTTAGAAAGTAATTGATTTTTAGGGGCATTCAACCTTCCCAGTATCCTAAATGTGAGAAATGATGGTAACCTTTCCGGAAAAGGCTTGGATTCCCATGTCAGTGGTTGTAAGCCCCAGAGGTCAGGCAAATCATGCAAATGAGTGAGGTGGCCTCGGAGTGGCTCATTCAGTCCTTTTTCCTAGTTCACCAGGTGGTTTGTTATGTATCTCTCCAGATTCCAGCCATGTATCTGTAATGCTTTAACTCATCTTTTTTTTTTTATTTTTTAAGTACTCTTTAACACCTATCTTGGGTCTTGAACTCACAACCCTGAGGTCAAGAGTTGCATGCTCCACTGACTGAGCCAGCTGGGTGCCCCATGATGGCTATTATTCTTTTTGTCACATTAAATATGAAACATGACAGATAGTGTAGGAATTGCCTTCATGATATCCCTAAAAAATACTTAACCATTTTGTTTGAAACCTAGCTTTCTTGGTCTTGTTTTTCTACTTTTAAAAGTTTCTTTAGACCAAACCCTGTATAAAATCATAAATGTCCAGGTTGGTGAGTTTTCACAAGTGTACACATCCATGTAAATAACACCCAGATTTCAGAACAGCATTCTCAGCTTGTCAGAACCCCCATGTGTTCTCACCTGACTTCTAACACCTTATTTTAATTTTGTCTGTTTTTGAACTATAAGTAGAATCATACAGCATGTGCTTGCTTGTGTCTGGGTTCTAGCACATAGCATTATGTGTGAAATTCATCTCTATGAATATGTCACATTTTATTCTGTTGATGGACATTCTTGATGACTAGTTTAACAGCTGGTTTGGGACTATTGGGAGTAGTGCTGTGAACACTTTGCACATCTTTTGGAACCTGTGTACTCATTTTTCTTGGGTATATAGCTAATTGTGGAATTGATAGGTCATAGGTATGCAGATGTTCAGCCTTAGTAGATCCTGACAAACAATTTTCCAAGGTGGTTATAATGGCTTTCCTACCTGATAGTAACTCAAGTATGTAGAATACAGTATTGCACTTTCTTCTCTGCCATAAATATAACAGCATCTAACTGAGATGACCTATGGCAACTGAATTCGACCTCAGCATGGGCGAGATGAGAAGGTGATAAAGTGGGGGGTGGTGCCTGGGTGGCTCAGTCATTGGGCATCTGCCTTCGGCTCAGGTCATGATCCCAGGGTCCTGGGATCGAGCCCCACATCGGGCTCCCTGCTCCGTGGGAAGCCTGCTTCTCCCTCTCCCACTCCCCCTGCTTGTGTTCCCTCTCTCACTGTCTCTGTCAAAGAAATAAAATCTTAAAAAAAAAAATAAATAAATAAACTAGGGGATACACACAGTAGCTGGGTTAAAGGTGGGAGCCACTGCCCATCTCAACTGGTTGTTGCCTTGTGGGAATGTGGTCCCAGTGGCAGGGTCTTTAGATTTTTGTTTTGTAATTGGGAATGTTTATTTTTATGTGGACTACATCAGTTTTTGCCACACAGAAAACACCCAGGACTTTGGCTTAAAACACCACTATTTAGGGGCACCTGGGTGGCTCAGTCAGTTAAGCGTCTGCCTTCGGTTCAGGTCATGATCAGGTCGGGCTCCCTGCTCAGTGGGGAGTCTGCTTCTCCTTCTCCCTCTGTCCCTCCTCCCACTCGTGTGTGCTCTCGCACACTCTCTCAAATAAACAACCCACCACTATTCACCATTTTGCAGAGAGGCAGTTTGGGCTGGGTGTGGGTGGGTTCACTCAGATGTCTGAGGTTATCTGCTGGTTAGCTAGGCAGCTCTGATTCTGGCAGCTGGCTAGTTGGGGTGTGTGTGTGTGTGTGTGTGTGTGATGTGTCATCCAACAGGTGAGCCCTGGGTGTGTGTGTGTGTGTGTGTGTGTGTGTGTGTGTGCGCGCGCGCGCGCGATGTGTCATCCAACAGGTGAGCCCTGCATGGGCTTTCTCAGAGCTACAAGAACAGCAGGAGGGCAAGCTCTAATGCCCAAGTGCTTTCAAACTCTGCCCAGGTCATGTTTGTTACTGTCACATCTGCCAGAGTGAGCCAGATGGCCAAGTCTAGAGTTAGGGTGGAGTCACCCACTTCCTGGATACAGGGAAGAATGAACAAAGTAGTGGCCATTAATGCCATCTATCACTCAAATTCCTCCCATTTTTTTTTTTTAAGATTTTATTTGACAGAGCACAACCACATACAAGCAGGGGAAGCAGCCCCCCCCTCGCCGAGTAGGGAGCCGGACATGGGGCTCGATCCCAGGACCCTGGGATCATGACCTGAAGTGAAGGCAGACACTTGACTGAGCCACCCAGGTGCCCCAAATTCCTCCCATTTTTAATTGTTGGTAACTAATGCAAAAAAAAGTTTTTAAGTCCTAACACTTGTCGGTTAAGTGAAATCTTCTGTGGGCCAGGTCTGCCTTGGGTCATGAGTTTGTGATCTTTGCGTTTGTTTTCCCAAGAATCCTTATTTGATCCATGGCTGACTCCAGAGAAGGAAGATTTAGTTCCATCTGAGACTCCACAGAAACTCCGACAGGCTGATCCACTTGACATGAGGGAGAAATACAAATCTGGTCTTACCTCCTAACATCCCCTCTCTTTGGGGTGCTTTCCCCCCAGCCCCTTGTGCACTCCGTTGGGCCAGTGCGTTCTGTTGTGTTGTATTTGATGCGGCCTCTTTCATCTCCGAGCCTGCAGTATCCTCACTAGAGAGATCCAGCTAGTAAGTTGGCAGTCAAGAGTTAATTTGCCTTTCAAGGAGTAGGTGAACAGTGCTGCGTTGGAGGGTCACCTGGCTGGGTGCAGGCCAGACCTTTGATGGACAAGCGTAGCTGAGATGAAAACTTAGAAGTGGGCCCTGTCTTCTCTTGGGAAGCTTTAAGTAATAGCACTGAGAAGCCGGGGATTTTTAGGTGATGAATGGGGACACCTAAACTGTC